CCGCCGATACATAATTTGTAAAATGGTTGATTCGTGGCAATACATCATCCGGCTCAGTCTGAATGCCATTTGTCATTCGTAAATGTAATGTGTATCAAACAAAAGACACTCCCTTGTACGGCTCGGATTATATCATATCTCCAAGGAGTTCCTTTGCAGCTCAGTGTAGAGCTTAGAAAGCGACGTAAAGCGTCATTCATCAATACAAAAAAGTTTTGCTTCGTATTAATATGACTTTACTGAAGTCGGCACGATCTTAATCCCAACTCCAATTTGTACGTGCCCTTTCTCATTAAAAGTAGGTTAGGATGAGCGAACCAGAGCTCACGATTTACGTCGTAACATAAAACATCGCCCTCCCGTACGAGTTAGTACAGTTTTCCGCATCCCATCGTTCACGTCGCGTACATTTTGGAAATTCAAGTGCGATTTATTGCGGCGAACCCTTCGACAGATTATTCCAGTTAGTGAGATTGGCCACGAGCGTGGCTTCGCGCATTTGATCGCCGCTAATGAGACGTAAGCGCCGTCGATCAAATAATCCGTAATAATGACGTTATAACGAAAGTTTTCCCATTTCACCCGCGATCGATTCGCATATGCGATTGGGGTCGCGTAAAATTTAAATGGGCCGGCTTGCATAAATTTTAAAATCGGAACGTCACGCAATTTTTAGATCAACAAGGAGCGGGGGAGGGGGAAGGTTTTTACTTGTCCTATTTTATGTTCTTCGGAAGCAGCTGCGAGACGAGCACGGAGCAACTGAGTTTAATAGTGTTGTCACGTACCAACATCGTATTAGGTGTTGGTAGAATAAGGAAGGAGCAGAAATTGCGATCGTTACACGTTATTTTTGGTGGCATCTCTTGTTCTCTCTATCTTTTCCCGATTGGATGTGAATTCAGTTATTTTCTTGACGAAGACTATAATGGCATATTTCTATCTCGAGATGGATTGTGTAGTTTCGTTTTAATATAATTCGAATTCCTTAACAAGAATCTTAGATTAAGGTGAGATTTGAACCTTTCCCAATACAGAATATTCAAATCCGATGTGATTGGTTTATGGCGCAAGGGATTTATTTTGAATTGCAATGGAAGTGTTTGGAATATACGTAATGTGAATGATGAGACTACTATAAAAACGCATTTTCCACTAATTACACAACCTTATCGAGAGCTTGAAAAATCCTAAAAGTGCACTAGAGCCTTTTAATAGTTTTTGAAGGCTTTTCAAGGCCCTATCATTATCTACAACAATCACAAAATCTACAGAATCTAGGTACTCCACAGGGTACCAACTGTATCAACAAAATCTAACGTCTCTAAAAGCCTACAGACTATGCACAATATACATCTCTACAATGTCCACAGAGTTTACAGGTTCTGGAGACTTTACAGAATATACAAAATTGAAGGAGTATACAGAATGCACAAGCCGTGCGGCAAGGTTTACAAACTCTATACTATCCAAAACCATCCGCGGTTATAGGATCTACTACACGAAACTCTACAACAGTTCCTACACTGACAACAAACTCTACAGTGGCTGCATTTTCTATAAGGTCTACAGACTTTTCATAATGTAGAGCCTCTACAGCACCTATGAAACCTGCAGGATCTACAAGATCTACAGTGCAGTATATATCATTATGCACAATCTAGATAATCTACAGAATATACAGGATCAGAAGCTGTAAAGTTAAGAAAATTTACATAATACGCATCTAGAATCTGATGAACCTACAGAAGCTAAACAATCGGCACGATTCGCAGAATCTGTAGGATTTACAGGATCAACAGAATTTACGGGATCTGCAGAATCTACAGACTCTAAAATATGAAATTAAAAGATCTACAGACTCTTCACGATATTCAGGTCTACAAATCGGTGTTTATCTAATATTCCGTAACAAACCCTACAAAGTCTACAGACGCTGCGGAATCTACAGGGTGTATACACTTAACAGAATCTGTATATTCTACAGAACTTGCTGGATCTAAGATTGCTGATTCTATAGGACCCACAGATTGCGAAGGTCCAACAATGGAAGCTGCAGGACCTGCAGAATCTACTGGTTTCAACAAGCTGCAGAATGCATAGAACATACAGAAACGCCAGGGACTAGAAAATAGACAGGACCCAAAACATTTACCGTACCGCATTTTTTAAGTATTAAGAGTACTCGGAATCTTCAGAGCACACACGCTTTACAGAATGTACAGGACCTACAGTATATGCCGAATATTCAGTAAGTACAGAAATAGTCTGCATAGTATCCAGGACCTACAAGCAGAATGTAAAAAATGTACATGCACAATCTGCTAGATACGTACAGAATTTCCAGGATCTACAAAATTACAGAACCTGCAGAATCTGTGGGATCTGCAGGATGAGGATCTACAAAATCTACACAACTCACCGAATTTACACAACCTACAGAATCTGCAGGATCTACAAAATTTACAAAATCTACAAAATATACACGATCTACAAAAACCTACAAAACCTACAAAATCTACAAAATCTACAAAATCTACAAAACCTACAAGATCTACAAAACCTATAAAATTACAAAATCTACAGAATCTACAGAATTTACAGAATCTACAGAATCTACAGAATCCACAGAATCCACAGAATCTACAGAATCTCCAGAATCTACAGAATCTACAGAATCTACAGAATCTACGGAATCTACGAAATGTAAGACTACGGAATCTACGGAATTTACGGAATCTACGAAATGTACGGAATCTACGGAATCTACACAACTCACCGAATCTACAAAACCTACAGAATCTGCAGGATCTACAAAATTTACACAGAATGTACATAATTGGTATAATCGAAAAAATCTCTAGGAGTCGCACAATTCTATAGAATCCACAGAATCCGCACAACCCGCACAAATTACAGAAACAAATTAACCTAAATAACGTACAGACCCTATAGAATATTCTCCACAGAAGGTGTATAGAATCCATAAAATCGACCAGATGTATAAGGTCTGCAAGATCTACAAAATTTACAAAATCTACAAGATCTAAAAAATTTACAAAATCTACACAATCTACAAAATCTACAAAATAACAAAATTACAAACTATACAAAATCTACAAAATCTACGCAGACGTTCAGACGTTCACACTCTATGGAATCTACGGAATCTGCGAGATGTACGGAATCTACGGAATTTATGCAATCTACGGAATTTACGAGATCTACGGAATCTACGAAATCTACAGAATCTACAGAATCTACAGAATCTACAGAATCTACAGAATCTACAGAATCTACAGAATCTACAGAATCTACAGAATCTACAGAATCTACAGAATCTACAGTATCTACAGTATCTACAGAATCTACAGAATCTACAGAATCTACAGAATCTACAGAATCTACAAAATTTACAGAATCTACATATTCCTACATAACCTACAGAATCTATAGAATCTACAGAATCTACAGAATCTACAGAATCTACAAAATCTACAGAATCTACAGAATCTACAGAATCTACAGAATCTACAGAATCTACAGAATCTACAGAATCTACAGAATCTACAGAATCTACAGAATCTACAGAATCTACAAAATCTACAGAATCTACAGAATCTACAGAATCTACAGAATCTACAGAATCTACAGAATCTACAGAATCTACAGAATCTACAGAATCTACAGAATCTACAGAATCTGCTGAATCTATAGAATCAGCAGAATCTACAGAATCTATGGAACCTGCAGAATCTGCGGAATCTGCAGAAGCTACAGAATCTACAGAATCTACAGAATCTACAGAATCTACAGAATCTACAGAATCTACAGAATCTACAGAATCTACAGAATCTACAGAATCTACAGAATCTACAAAATGTACAGAATCTACTACAGAATCTACAGAATCTACAGAATCTACAAAATCCACAGAATCTACAGAATCCACAGAATCTACAGAATCCACAGAATCTACAGAATCTACCGAATCTACAGAATCTACAAAATCTACAGAATCTACAGAATCTACAGAATCTACTACAGAATCTACAGAATCTACAGAATCTACAGA